TTGTGCACGTATGTTCTCATTTTAATGTTTAATACCAAATATATTATACAATAATCAAATACAGTTGATCCTATTTTACAAACAATTAGTTTTCTGTTTTTTTCTGTTATTCTGAAGTACACAGCAAAAAATTACTTTCTTCCTCCGTATTCTTGTAATATTCCAGTACAAATCTAAAAAAGTATATATATATATATACAGTGTGTGTGTGTATTTTAAAATATATTTACTTTGAACAGCAAAATTACTCAAGATTTTGTTTTGTTTCATGAAAAAATATTACAATTGTGATTTTACAATTTAAAAAAAGAACAAATATTTGACAATGGTTAAAAATAAACTTGTTTTCCCTTTAAATTTAAGGGTTTTTTTTCTTCATTTTTCTGATAGATATTTTTCAGATAATATTTCTTGTTTTAATCGTAGAAAATGTTATTAAATTATATATATATATAGCTTATATATAATACCTTAAGTAATCTTGCATTTCAAGTAAATGTATCTTTATTTAAGAATGTGTAGATATTTGTACTGGAAAACAAGGCAAAAATAACAATATGCATTATGTATATAGTCCCGAAATGTTTGCCGATTTTTGATTTCGCACAATCAAACACATGCACATTTCTGTGGCTGTTTCTTGAAGATTGTTGCCTGATTGTTTCAGATGATTTGTGCTTGTGAATATGAATTCTCATTAAACGAGCACTTTTTAGACACATTTGCTAGACTTGTTTTCAGAGGATAATTTCACATTGTAACACACAGACACTAGGTGTCTTCATCTATAATGTACAAACGTACAGTAAGTCAATGCAAAGTTTCCATGTTCCTTCTAAATTCAGATCTGCTTGATTTATTCAGATCATCTGTGTAATGTAGTACTGACCTGCTTGTGAACCACTATTAGAGCTCATAACTATACATTAAGTGTTTCACAGCTGCTTATTAATATGCTGTGTGTGTTAAGCAGCTGTATATTTATATATACTACTATACTATATTTTATGTCGGAAACACTCCTGTTGACTTGATATCAGTTATATGTACATTATATACATTTATTTCATGCTACAAATACATTTTTATATTTATGTGCTTGATAAAATGCCATGCAGTTGTACTTCTAGTATACTAAACCGATAAACCTAAAGTCTGCTAAATTGGATTAGCTTGATGCACTTCAGTAGTGCTGAAGTCCAGTTAAAGGTGTGCTTAGTGTATCTGATTGTGCTGAAGTGGAACTATTGCAAGTATACTTCAGCTACACTTGAAATATTTTGCATTTAAAGACCGTTCTCATCAAAAGAGACATTAAGACATATTTTAAGCTTAATATTAAGAAATGTGCATTGCACACAAGTAGTACGCAAAAAAAAGTTTAATTATAATTTTTATAACAGTAAGTCTCAAGTTATTTGTCAGTAAATGTGTTAATAGAATTTAACTATACTTAGTATGAAATGTATTTTAAATATATAACTTTTTTACTAGGGTGATTTTGAGAAAGTAGATCTGAAGCACAACGTGAAACAGATTTTCTTCAAAATCTTTGAAGAAAAATTCTCCTCAAAAAAAAAAATTTTTTTTTTTTAGGTTTAAAAACATTTTCCTCTCTTCAAAAAAAAACTGGTCTACAAAATTTTTTTTATTTTTTTCTTCGAAAACAAATCAAATGTGGTTTTTTTTCCCCCCAAGTTGTGATTCAGGGTTATGGAAGCCTGTTTCCGCCACTGAATAAAACATTTTATAAAGTAACAGCGAATTTTTAACTTGCGAGTTTGTATCTCACAATCCTGACTTTTTTCTCAGAATTCTGAGATATAAACTCAAAACTGCAAGTTATAAAATCCAGTTTTGAGGAGAAAAAAAGACTGATATTTTTGCAGAATCTCCAGTTTATATCTCGCAATCCTGACTTTATTTCTCACAATTCTGTGAAAAAAAAGTCAGTATTATGAGTTTGTGTCAGGCATTTCTGAGAAAAAGTCAGAATTGCGAGATGTAAACTTACAATTGTGAGATAAAAAGTTACGAAAAAAGCTAAATAAATAAATACTGAAAAAACTCAAAGAGAGAGAGAGTAAAAATCTTAGGACTTTTTTTTTTTTGTCATGTTCTGCTTCAGGGTTTCTTTAAGTCCTCATAATGAGTAAAGATAATATATTTATAACAAAATAATTTTTAAAAACTTTTTTTGTTTTGGGTTGTGGTTTGCAAAATAAAAAAAAATTATATTTATATTTTTAATGTAGTTGTTGGAAACACTTAAATGTATTAATTCCGCATATATTATATTTATTACTTGAAGATGGCACAAGTGTATATCCACTGATTCATAATTTTGTGTAGCACTAACTTTGTAGCCCAGTTTGACGATGTTTCTGTCTCTTTGCAGATGATCTGTTCATATTTGTTTCAGTCTTACAATAATATGATATCTGCTCAGTCCAGGAGTATCGGTTTAGTTTGCCACTGAGATTGAAATGCAGGTTAATGA